AAGCTCTACATGCAGCAAAAGCGTCTAATAATCTACTACAAGTAATTAAAAGCTATCTCAGTGACCGCATATTTATAATGCCGGCATAGTAAAGAAAAGGCAAAAATGAGGCTTTCCACAGGGGATCATGCGCTGAACCAGATTTCGGGAATGTCATGTTTAATTCCATACTGAATGCATATTGGCAGCCGCATGCAAAGAACAATAGTTTTTGCAGATGATGCTGACATTCAGCGCTCGAGGCCACAGCAGGGACTAATTGTAGAAAAACTGCAACAAGGTTTGACAACCTCTGCACTGAAAAAACAACTAAAAATATTGCTGGATAAATCTAAATATATAAGCTCAAACAAATTATCATAAGAAACCCGTGCATCAAGCTAATTAAAAATGACGATCAAATGGTCAAGGAGTTAAAATTCCTGTACCTCGTCTTGGATGAAAACTTCACTTCGATTCCTCGTTTCAAAGCCCAAAGGGTCAAGGCCACAAGCATAATGAATAGAATTAAAACTATGCAGGGCAAAGATTGGGGATTATGACCAAACACACTCAAGACTATCTATAAGAAATCAGCAGAAAAAATAGTTTTATATGGGGCAGCTATTTGGTCCCTACCCATGACTGCGAGGAAATTTACTTAATAGCAGCAAAAAACCTTTCATGATTGGTATAATGAAAACATATAGGACAACGGCCACACCAGTAGCAGCGGTTCTAGCTGGACTTCCTCCCTTGCCAACAGCGGCATTACAAGAGGCAACTCACTCAACTATAGTCTCATCAGACTTTGAGAACAAAAATTATCAACTCAAAGTTCATCCTGCTAGTTATGGACTGATCATTATTGCCTATACCTCTATGTCTCAGGAAATACTGGGAAGAGAAGCAAGGGGTGCAAACAACATCAGCATATTCACTAATAGCTTAAAAATCTGAATTTTTACTCAGTATCATCATGATAAAGTCTTAGAAAAATGGAAAGGATACCCTGGAATTAACATATCTGTATTCCAGGCAGATTCAGATAGTCAGTAAGCTAATCTTTGCACTTTGTGATCCATTTCATCCATCGTCGAACGGCTACTCAAAGAAAATGCGCATAACTGCAACATCCAGATTTTATGGATTAAAATGCACATGGGCCACAGGACAATGAGGATGCAGACACTTACGTAGAGGAAGCTGCAAAGAATATTAGTGCCGTAGGATGTCCAGATACGACTTCCTAAATCTTATCTGAAGCGAGTCTGCCAGATTAAAGCTCAGCACAACTGGCAAGAGAAATGAGTCTCTATATTAATTACTATATTGCAAGGTGGTAGAATCCATAACTTAGTCCACAAAGTTTCCCAAGATGACTCATCTCAACTCCTTTCCTTTCCCGCTTCGTCACAGGCCATGGACCATTTCTGCAATATTTCTAGAAAAGGGGAATAGCAACAAGTGATTGTTGTGTCTGTAATGAAGTAGGTACTCCTCACCATTATGTGACGTCTCGCCCTCTCACAGAGGCATAGTACATAAGAAAAATAGCATTATAAACAAACTTGAAGCACTGGGACTGGATTTACACAATTATAATGTATTAACTTCAATTAGCAGAGATTTAGATCATCAATGAACACTGGTTTCCAGTATTTTCTGCAAGGCGTCATCTTGAGTCAGTGTGCAAAGCAACATTAGGCTGGGAACATGCAAAACAAATGTAAATATGATATAATAATATCTAAATGTATAATGTTTTAATTATGTATATTTGTAATGGGTACATTAATGCATGGGTGTATTAATGTAAGTATATGCATATTACAGTACAAAGTCTGTAATCTGGACGTCCATTATCCGGAATAATCTATAATCCGGCCCTCAAAGCAACAAACGTTTTTTGGTAGAAGCAACTTAAACAACTTGCATTGAAAGAAATGTTTAATAAAGTAAACAAATAAATATTAAGCTTTTTGTAAATTTTGATACCCTTTAGATCATAATTGCTCTTTATTTCATAAATTACAGTTTCATATTTTTAATGTATAATTTCTGCATGCCATCTTACCAGATTTAAATTGATGATCTATAATCCGGAATCGCCGAAGTCTGGACTTTGTACTGTATAAATAGAATATTCTACAACATATTGGGAATAGTGTATTGCATATCACATTTTGTATAGTACCTCGTAAAATGTGTAAATAACCATAGCATTTAGAGCTATGCTTTGAGCTGCATGAAGCATAGTTACTATAAATGTAGTTTTACAACTTAAAAATACTCAAGAGCAATAGAGTGTAAATACGTGTATGGCATCAATAGTATATAATGTATCTACTGTATGTAGAGCAACATGATGAAAGGTACTGTTCAAAGCAACAATAAGTATTGCTCTGTATGGAATGTATTGTCCTTCACGCATACAATGCTGTGATTAAAAACAAAGTTGATTTCCATACAAGGCACCTACCCTTTGTATGTTATAATAACAGCAATAAGTAAACACTGTATGTTTTTGCATTCTGTAATTTTTTTCAATGTGTATTTTTAATAGTTTATATTAAAGTTCTTTGTATTATAAGTTATGTTGCATATAATCAAGAGTTATTAACAAGTACCTATCGTTTGTATAATCAAGAGTAATGTTGTTCATTGTAATATGCAGCTAATACTCGAAGTGTATTAAGTGTAGAAATGAATTTTGTAAAGTGTAGTGTTCAATGTAATATGTACAGTCAAAAGTCGTTAATCCGGACTCGTCGGGACTTTGGCGATTCCAGATTATCGATTTTTCCGAATTATAGATAATCAGTTTAAATCTGGTAAGATGGCATACAGAAATTATAAAATTAAAAATATGAAACCGTAATTTATGAAATAAAGAACAATTATGATCTAAAGGGTATCAAAATTTACAAAAAGAAAAAGCTTAATATTTATTTGTTTACTTTATTAAACATTTCTTCCAATGTAAGTTGTTCAAGTTGCTTCGTTTCATGTGATAATACTTTCCCTTTAATTCTATTAAACAAACATAATTTCTTGTTTAGTTACAAAGTTCCGCTGTTCAAGTCCTATAATTGCAGTGTTGAGAATACCGACTAATTTGTCAATCGGAATTTTTTCCTTTTCAATAACCTCTGCATCACTTTCTTCACTATCAGAAGCGAATTATAATGACGAGGAACTTGATTTAAATCATATCAAAGACGGAGTACTTCGAGATGAAATACTACATTTAGTAAGGAATTATAAGCCAAATAAAATAAAAACATCTGCCCTGAAGATAAGGATAGTGGTGACAGATCAACTTCCAATTCATTGCGCGCTGCGTCGTCCCCCCCCGCAGAGCAGCGTGAAATTGATAAACATATTTTGGAATGATTAGATAATCAAAGGATATGCCTTTATCCATTTTTTGCAGCAATTCCACTTTCTGTTTAACGGACTTCGAAACATACTTTCGCTTTGAAGATCCTTTACATATTAGTAAATATACATCGGAAATTCTATTTGACATAATCGAAAGTTCAAGCTTACTTTTATAAAATTGCTCTAACAGTCTGCAAAAAATAATAAGCCGGATCCAATTCGAAGATTAAGGAACAACGCAATCTGCAACATTAACTGAATTACATAATTAATTTAGCTTATACCGTCCGTTATACATTAAATGTGCATGCATAAATGTATTATGCGCATGCTCACATGCATATTCGCAGCCTAAACGCCTATGCGCAGAAAGTTTGTAGCTTTGAGGTCCGGATTATAGATCATTCCGGGATTATGGGTGTCCAAATTAACGACTTTTGACTATATTACAAAAATTTGTATTGAGTGTTTTATATATAGCAATGTAACCAGGAGAATGTTTAAAGTTATTTTTGATATGTTTCCACAGTACAGCCAAATTTATGCAACAGTAAGCTTTTACCACACTGTTATTCAACCAAAAGTTGTTTTGGACGTACTGTACCCTCAGATACGTTACCTGCATTTTGTATGTTATAAGTACAACATAAAGTAATGAACATATATTTCTGCACTGTGTAATTATTGCTCATTATTTAAGCCTGTTGTATCAATTGTAACCAAGTTACCTACCATATAATATAGTTATGTCTTATATAACCAATTATATTTGGATTCTGTGTTAAATTGTCAACTTATATATAACCAAGTTATGTATCACATAATCAAGTTATGTCTTATATAATCAATTACATTATTTGTATTTTATGTTAAATTGTCAAGAGTAATGTTCAGCACAATATGTAGCATAGAATATATACTGTATTAAATGTAGCAATGAGTTTTGTAAATGTACCTTAAGTACAGTGCAATGATAAATGCAATGCATATTATGAAATGTATAGTGTAATGAGTACACGCAGTAATGTGTTAACATGTGATGTAGCCAGGAGAATGCTTAATTACAAAGTTATTTTTGGCATGTTTTCAGAGTATAGCAAAATTTTTGTAACAATGTGCTTTTAGAATAATAATAGTTCATCAAAGGTAGTATGAAATGCATTGCGTCTTCAGATCTGTTACCTATATTTTGTATATTCTACTTTATGTAATGCATGTAGAATAATCTGATATTTTGGCCTTGTACGACCATATAATGTCTTGATTTCAGACGGTATGTTTAGATAGTTGTGGGATCCAAACAATACTCAATAAGTCTACGCAAGCCATTCGTACCTGCCCTGGTGAAAGGCCATCTTTTGAAAACGACAACTATCTAGATGACCTAAGATTTGGGACAGACTTTTACCACGTTAAGAGTGAGAACAAATTAAAAATTTGTCAAGTTTTGCAAACATCCTTCACTACTTTTTTCTTTATTAATTATGTTATCCCACATCTTTATATTATGGTATAATGATACATTAAAATCATGGAGAAATTACAAGTAACAATGTAGATGGCGTGCTCTATAACTAACAAGATATACATGTAGAATTATTCAATAAATTTATAAATAAAAAATATGCAAATAAACATTAGAACTGTACATTTTTTTTTTATTTTTTAACAAAATATTTTACATTATCACAAAATATTTACCATACATATATATGATACAATTTACAATCTAATATAATTTATTTTCAAACAGATATAAAGTGCAATTAACACAGAGTTAATTGAGAAAGGTTTTTATGACAAATTTTCATTGTAACATCAAGTTTGAAACATCAAATTCAATGACAAGCACTATATTGGAGATAAATCATTTTACAAACATGAAACTGGAAGTATTTATTCATTCTCATAAATCCAAGCTGTTTTCTGTAATACATTCTTAGGAAAAAACTGCACCAAATCTGACATGGATTTTGTATGGTCAAGGAAGAACTTGATAACATTTACACTACCGGGTGTAAATTATTTTGCAAAATAAAATAAATCAGTATAATAAAAATGAATTTAAATCTCCAACTTAAGACTCATAAGAGATACATTATTTTGATGCATAAAATTAATAAGTGTTGAAACTTGTTTTCCAAGTGGAAAATAAGCATGACATATGCAAATGATAATTATTGTGGATACACATTTTGTAAAACGAAATGAAATACCTCACAGAATGACTAACTTCATGATATATTATGCATGATATTTTAGAAACAGCAACTATGGTAAAGTACATAAAGGCAAACCATTTTGGATATAATCTATCATTTAATAACTTCAAATAGAATATAAAAAATACATACGAGAATTTAAATTTGTTAAAGGAAACTAAACAAGGAGAAATATTTCTACACACTGATGATTCAAAATAACATTTAACACAAATTAACTTTGCAAACTGATAATTAATTCAGCCACAATAAAAAAATGAATGTTTTATTAGATGCTATTTCATTAAATAAATAGCAAAATGAATTGTATGATATATATATTAAATCTTCAATCATTTATAAATACAGACAGCTTCATTTTTAATATTTTTAATGCAACACTGTTAAAAGTATCCTGTAAAAGTGGACAAAGTATTTCCTAGAAGAAAATATAAATTATTCATTATTGTTTCTAAGCATAATTTAAAAAAATCATTGATAACATTCTACGCTGTAGAATCAGTCTGCTTAACAAACTGTCACAAGAAACTTCACACGCCAAAAATATAAGAGTCGGTATGACTCTTTGAATAATAATAATGCTAATTTATATTGTAAAATGAGAACGTAGAATACACGGACTAAAACTGTTTCAAGGTAATATTACAGAAAAATGAGATTACAGTTAATTTATTGAATCAAAAATGAAAAATCATTTCAAGAACATTCAAAATTTTTCAGCAAAAATAATATTTTAATTTGTCATTTCTCATTACAAAGGCTGTCACTCACTTCAGAGTATTCAATAATACTGTAATAAAAAAAACCCCACTATACATAAAATAATACAGTTTATCATCATGGCTGGAAAGCATTTGCACATTTAATTATAATAATTAAAAAACATTGGCAATTTTTGGGGGGATAAGCCTAATGTAGAGAAATATTTTTAGTTGAATAACAAATACAGTACAAAGTCCGAAATCTGGACATCCATTATCCTGAATGATCTAAAATCCGGATGTCAAAACCACCAACAAAATTTTTCTCATAGACTTTACACATGCACATTTGATTTCCCACTCCACACATAATAAAACATCTGGAGAGTCCCGATTCTTAATTTCACTTAGACATAATAAAATACCTTGTTACTGAAGAAACAATCATCTTAGCATAAATTTGTACGATCACTAATTTGACTCTGTTGCTGTGTATTTGCTTGGCACACATCCTCAAACCGAATCATTCTACATAGATATATCACTGATCTGATGCCAACCTGGCAAATCATTATTTATTATACTTTTCCTTTCATTACCGCATGTTTATCAAAACATGACAACTTGAGTAATGACTCATGTAGCGATGCCTAAACAATTTTTTTATGTTAGCATTTGAATAATAAAGGAATATGGTAACCTTTTATGTTGACAGTATGCTTGGCGATGATTACAGATTTCAGTTAAATGTGCTAAAAAATGTTGACGAGAAAAACTTTACCAAAAATTTCTTTCCATATGCTAAAAATAGATTTTGTTGATGATACTCATAGATCCAAAGATTACATTTAGGGCTATTTAAATTAAGAATAACTGATTTGCTATTCGCATAAACCCAGAATCAGTACCAGAGCTCGTATGGCCGTGCCGAGTCGCAGAATTTAGGACCCACAGAGACTGCATGAAGCGATAAGATATCTAGCGCCGGCCCTCAATAAAGCTTAAGTCTATGTGGGTATTTCTTTATTCAGAACTCAAGCCTTAAGCATGTGCAAGAAATAGACATAAGTATAATAAATAACTAAAATAATACAATTCAGGCTTAATTGTCTCAGTGTGCGATAGAAGCAAGATAAAATTTAACGGAACAACTTGTTAGTCACGAAGCTCATGATGCATAGCCAAATATGTATAGTGAAGAATAGCTAAATTTGATGATGACAGCCGCTAATTTTAAAAGTTTTCTAATATCGCATAAAAAGGTGAAATTTTCCAGTTAACGGATTTTGTAAAGAAATGTGGAGAAGCTGTACTAATTGAAGATGATATAAAAGAAATTTTTCATTGTGATGACAATGCTTATCAATCATCAATCAATTAATGAATGGAGAAATCTGTAGTATGGTTCTAGATCCAGAAAATGTCGCTATCGATAGTGACGAAGGTGACAGAGAAGTTACTGAAAACGAGCAAATTTCAATTGACAAGTTAGTTGGAATCTTCAAAACAGCAGTTACAGGACTTTAACAATGTAACTAAACAAAAGATTAACTCTGTCTACAGAACTAAAAAGAAAATATTAGCACAAAAAACGAAGTAACTTAAAACAACTTACATGGAAAGAAATGTTTAATAAAGTAAACAAATAAATATTAAGCTCTTTTTTTGTTTGTTTGTAAATTTTGATACCCTTTAGATCATAAACACCTCATTATTTCATAAATCATGATTTCCTATTTTTAATTTCATAATTTTTACATGCCATCTTACTAGATTTAAATTGATGATCTATTATCCGGAAAAATCCCAAATTCGGAATCGCCGAAGTCCTGACGAGTCCGGATTTTGGACTTTGTACTGTAATACAAAAATGTCTTCTAACATATTAGAGCAAGTAATAATAATAATTTACTTGAGATTTTTAAAAATGAATACAAATGAGAACTCAGAAATTAATTTAACACCTTTATATAAAGCATAATTGGACATAAAAAAACTTAGTGATTTAAATTTAAATCCCAAAACGTATTTTCATCTGGGAGAAATAAATAAAAAGGTGTATATTTGAGGTATATAAATAAAGTAACGAGACTGAAAACACAGCATTTCTGGCAACACTGTAAACTTCTTATTAGGAGGGTACGATGAGAGAACATTAGATGCACAACCAGTAAAAATAATGTAGCTTGAACTGCATAGAACTACACAGATATCATGCATAGCTGTCCACAGAACTTGTTTACATAAATTCTTTTTAGGAGGTGGGCATTCTGAAAAATGAATGAATCAATTTTGAGAAATTCCCCCAGGACATTCTGAAAATGAATCAGTTTTGAGCAACAATACCCTATTTTGCTCGAGATCTGAATACAGCTCAAAAGGAGGTTTTGCAAAGCTTTTGCAAGCCTGTAGAGACAATGCTTTATTGATGAACCAGGTTTTCAGATGGTTGAAGACATTTTCAGAAGGAACAAAATTGAATGAAGATAAAACTTGCAAGGAAAACATGCAACTGCAAGGAATGATGGAAAATTTGTCAGAATCCTGGATCTTGTACATTTTGATCATCCCTTGATAGTCAGAATAATTGAAAAATTGTTAGAGTTGAATCACACCACCATTCATCAAATTATGACAAATAAATTGGAGATGAAGAAAATTTGTCTAAAAACCTTTTACAGGAGGGGGGGGGGAACATTAGGAGAGAGGAGTGCTTTGATTTTTTTTGGGCATGGATTGAAAATTATCATTTTCTGAAATATGGCATTACTGGTGATAACACTTGAGTGTTCGAGTACAGCCCAGAATTGAATATCTAAAATCATGAACAGCATGCTTAACCCATGCTGCTTTATAAACAGCTACATTAACAGCATGCTTTGACTATGAGTTTAAAAAAAATACCAAATTTTCTATCCAAGTGAGCAAAATACATCATAAATAAAGTAAATTTTGCATCCCCAGCTGTAGTTAATGATAATATACATGTGCCCCACAAGTAGTGATCAATTTTCTATAAGCACACCTATTATTCTGGAAGACTATTTATTATATGAAAAAAAAATTCATATCGTATGGTACAAGGTACATCACATATACAGGTTATATCGTATGATACATTCTTTGCATAATCCAATGTTATACACTGGGCAAGTCACATTTCTTCTTTTCTCTATGTTCATCTGTGTACAGCGAGCACAGTGGCATCTTGATTCAGAAGATTCTTAACAATCTTTGATTCAGCAGTAATTTTTAAACTTTTAGTGGGGCATATATGTCCCATTAGTAGTCAAAGGGTTAAAACTCACCATTATCGCAAACTGAAGATCAAAAACATGCTATTTTGCTTTTCTGATGGCCCAGGAGAAGAAAGAGTCTGTGCTTCCAGGTTAAATGGTGAACCAAGAAGTTCTTGAAAGACTTCAAAACAGGGACATGCATGCGAGAGAAAAAATAAAGCCTACCTGGGTGCTGCATCATCACATTCTGGTTAGTAAAAAAATCATCTCCAACAATACATAGCTTTCTAAAGTTAAAATTTTGAAGGAGACGTATGAGACTGCCAGTCTCAAAAAATCAGTCTCATTAATTTATTTACATATCTTGCATTTGCGCGCGCACGCACACACACAGGGTGCTCAGAAAGTATTTGGCAAAATTTTTAAGAATGGTAAAGTTAACCAAAATGGGCATTTGGAAATGGTGCGCTCAAGTACCAGTAGATGGCACATGTTATAACAATTCAAAGCAGAACCTGATTCTAGCATGATGGTACTCCCAAACATTTTAGCGCTGATGTCAAAAATTACCTGGATGTCTTGGCATGCAAATTGCTGGATAGGCCAGGATGGACTTATTTGTTGGCCACCACAATGACAATATTTGTCATATTTGGATTTCTTCTTGTGGGGGCATTTAAAAAATACAATATATGATACCACCATTGCCTCAGCAAAAATCTCGTTTGCAGACTGTTTGTTGCTGATGGAGATATTAGGGATAAGCCTGGTATCATTAAAAATGCATGAACTACATGCAGTAACAGTACAAAGCATGTGTTCATGTTTGTAATCACTCATTGGAACATATGCTGTAAAACAGTGCTCATTAAATAGCTTGTTAAATTTCCTCTAGCCTGTTTTTCTTCCAGATTTTTCATCATCATCATCACTTAACTGCATCATTTTCAGACACATTCTATTAAAAAAATGCTTATTTTGGTTCTCTCTACCTACCAGCTTTAAAATTTCCCCAGATATTTTCAAAACACCTTGTATATACGTATACATACACACATATATATTATATACACACACACACACATACACACTACATCCACAAAAACCCTTACTCAGCCTTTATTTTTGCTACTGTAGGTCATACACATATACATCCAACTGCAAAACGGTTTTAAATAATGCAAATATTCATTTTTTTTGGCATTTTTAAATTTAAGGAAATCAGGTTTCTAAAAATTACGAAAGGTCTCCCATTTTATACTTCCTCTGGTCCCTATACTTAGATTTAGGAAAATTTTGTACTCTTTATGAAAAATACAATGCAAAAAGATGCTCCTGTATGATAAAAATTGAATGAGATATTTGGTATTAAGTTCAAGGATCATATTTGGGGGCATACACAAATTGAAGAGTGAAATGTTTGCAGGTGTACATAACTAAAAATAAAACACCTGTTAAGAAAAAGCCTTATGATATTA